ATAATGGATCGTATTGGAGATTAATGGACCATATTGGGCCTTAATGAACCGTATTGGGCTTTAATGGACCGTATTTGCTTTAATGGACCGTATTGGCCCTTAATGAACCGTATTAGGCCTTAATGAACCGTATTGTGCCTTAATGAACCATATTGGGCCTTAATGAACCGTATTGGGCTTTAACGGACCGTATTGGGCCTTAATGAACCGTATTTTGATTTAATGGACCATTGGACATTAATGAACCGTATTGGGCCTTAATGGATCGTAATGGGCCATAATGGACCGTATTGGGTCTTTACGGACCGTATTGGGTTTTAATGAACCGTATTGGGCCTTAATGAATCGTATTGGACCATAATGGATCGAATTGGAGATTAATGGACCGTATTGGGCTTTAACGGACCGTATTGGGCTTTAACGGACCGTATTTGCTTTAATGGACCGTATTGGCCCTTAATGAACCGTATTGGGATGGCGGAGGAGGAGCGACGTTTGGCGGAGGAGGAGCGATGGCAGGCGGCGAAGGAGAGACGTTTGGCGGAGGAGGAGCGATGGCGGGCGGCGGAGGAGCGACGACGACAGACGGAGGAGCAACATGATAGACGACTTCAAGATATGGCTGCTTTGGTTACACAGCTCAGTCAATCTCAACATTTCCCCCCGCCACCATAATGAATATTGTCTTTTGCCTTTAAACAATTTAGTTTTGTTTATAACAATTTAGTTTTTGTTTGGTTGGAATAATTGTAGTTTCACTTTAATGTATGATATTTAGTTCTATTTCGCCTTTTTATTTTCAGTTTTAATATTGTACAGATTTGCAGGTGTTAAATACAGGTATTAAATACAAGTTTTAAATATTAATTTTAAAATAAATTTAAAATATTAATATTTATATATTTTTCCGACGGATATATCCGCCGGTATTTACAAAAAGAAATTAATTCTTTTAGAAATATTATTATTTTTTTAAAATATTAATATTTATATATTTTTCAGACGGATTTCCGGCGGATATATCAACCGGTATTTTTTAAAAAAATATTTAATTCTTTTAGAAATATTTTTTTAAATATTATATATATATATATCCGCCGGTTTTTAAAAAAAAAATAATTCTTTTAGAAAATTAATTATTTTTCCGGCAAGAAATATTTCCGGCTCCGCCGGAAATTTTAAAATTTTTTTTTTAAGGATTTGTTAAGTTAATCATGATTTTTTTTAAAAACGGGCGAAGAATTTCCGGCGGCCGTGATCCGCCGGAAACGGGGAAAATCCTCCGGAAAACAATCACCGACGCCCCTTTTTCGGCGGCCAAATCCGCCGGAAATCACTTTTTCCGGCGGATTTCCGGCGGATTTGGCCGCCGGAAAAAGGGGTTTTTTTGGTAGTGATATATATACTAGTGGTGTACCCGCGCGATGCAGCACGAATGAATCACAATTCTAAAACATTAGTAATAAGGCCGTCCCTAGGGGAGGGCGACACGGGCGCACGCCCAGGGCCCAAAAATATCAAGGGGCCCAAATTTTTTCCTTAAAATGCAATAATAGTTTAAAAGAATTTAATAAAAAAAACCAAAAAAATTGTAACATATAATAAGAGGCAAAAAGAATTTAGTAGATAAGGGCACAAAAATATATCAACTAATTACATTGAAGAAGAAAATAAAAAAATTAATTGGTTATTCATTATATGCTATTGTTTATTGTCTCTCTAATTTTTTTTATCTCCAATATGGTTCAGTGATATTGGCTATTGTTATCTCTATATGATTGACTGTTTTGTGCTTCAACAATTCAAAATTAAGATCATGTACTTGCTATTGCTATATATTTTTGTTGGATATTTTTATCAATTTATGCTTTTATTGACTATTGCTATTTAGTTATCTTGTTCTAATTTTTTTTTTTACTATTGTTATCTATTTTTTCTTCTACATAAAATATTTTACTATTGTTTGACAATCAATAAGTTGTTCTTATAATTTATGATCAAAAGGGTCTTTTTTTTGAATGAAATGATATGGGTGTTGGATGCGTTTGATCGAAGCTATCTTCAATCAATATATCCGACAACTTACCGGCTTCAACGACTCTAGAAGTCGAGTGTCGATTATCCTTCCTTACATGGCTTTATGTAAGAGGAGTTGAATTTGTAAATTTTATTTTGAAACGAGAACTTTTTATTCTTAATCAACAATATAGAATTGTGAGAAAATATAACATTTTATAAATATAATAATTTAAGTTTCATAATGAAATAATTTATTTTTGGTAAAATAATATAACATTTTATAAATATAATAATTAAGTGTTCTGTTAAAACTTAATGATTATCCTAATTATATTTTTTATATTTAAAAATGAGATGTTTATCTTGTATTTGATTATGTTTATCTGCAATTAGTTACACGAATTCAGATATGGAGTTTTAATAAGTTGTACTTACGCACAATCTACTTGTAATTTTGAGTTTTAAGTAATATGGATTAATAAACAGTACTTTACGCATAAAAAGTGGTTTTTAAGAGTTTTGTCAAATGCTTTATAGTATAGTATAGATATATTTTTTATGATTGTTGTCTTATTTACTTAAATAAACATAATATTTAATTATTATATTATTATATTATATGGTTTATTATAAAGACAAAGAATAGAGTGAAAATATGAGTTACGATAAAAAGAGATCTGGATTCTTGATAGTTTTTAATCTTATACCTATCATATGAATTGTGCTTGATGCAAGAAATGATCAGGTGCATATCAATACATCTTATTACTGTTGATTATCAATTAAGATTGATCCAAATATGGAGATCATTTCTTACCTTTCTCATCATAACTTTCATTGTTATTGAAACCCAAGCTTATTACAAATTACTATAATTAAATATCTTATTTATAAAGGATAAAACATTTAAGACATGGATACATCATGATTAAATTTTTATTAGGTAAATTTGAATTCTAGCCAAAAATCTCATAACTAAAACCTATTGTTATTTTTTCAAAAATGAAATTAAATATTCGTTTGAATTGTGATACATTGATTAAGTCTAATAGGAATATAATGAAAGATATCATATATTATGGATTCGAATTCAAACGTTATTACAACCTTGGTGACCACTGAGATTCATTTATAATGACCCCATGCTATTCATAGAGTTTTCTTGATACGTTAAGAAAACCTTAAAACCCACGGTTGAAGAAAAAAAAAATCAAACCGATAAAATTATTCTGATAAAAATATTTAACTTTTGTTTTTTCAAGATTTTCCGTTTGGTCAGAAAAAGACAAGACTAAACATCCAGCTAACACCCCCAAATCACTATCATGGGATCCCATTCTTTTGTTCTTTCCAAATTATCATTCATTCTACTTGTAATTTCTTTTATCTATCTTTTTTTACTCAATTAAACAAAATACAACATGTTTTATCCTAACAGCACACAAAAACGACATTATTCATCTCTCTCTCTCTCTCTCTCTCTCTCTCTCTCTATATATATATATATATATATATATATAGAAAGAGAGAGAGAGAGAGTTTGTTTCAAATACAACCTGTTGCATTTATACAATCAATGCAACCCAATAACTTGAGATATTTATGGAAATGATGAGAATTCATTTATTATGATTTGAATATTTATGGAAGATGAATATGGTTCATTAATTATGATCAATACTTTATATTAGAAAACAATCAGAACTTCTATGAAATCACATATTAATCAAATGAAATGAACGGTTGAGATTAGGTTGTATTGGTTGCATAAATGTCATGGGTTGTATAATAACCAATCTCTCTCTCTCTCTCTCTATCTCTCTCTCTCTCTCTCTCTCTCTCTATATATATATATATATAGTAAAAGGACATCAATCAGACGAGGAGTATTTTATTTATAGAATTTTGTTTTCGTATATCGATATCTGACTTTTTTTTCTTCGAGTTTTGTAGTTTAAGCTTTTTTTTTGTTAGTGATGTGGTTGGCGATGTTTGTTTGCATGCGCCAAGAGACGTTATGTTTTAAACTTGATTTGAAGAGTTACAAATCCGGTTGAGATCGATTTTTGATGAATTAGGCTTATAAATTTAACGACGGATATGACTTATAGCAAGAGATAATAGAATTATGGATTATATTTTGTGGGACCCAAGAGTAGCAAGAAAGTACAAGTAATAAACATCCCAAACACCCCTAAGTTTTAATTTAAAACTGCGGCAGGGTCTACATGCCATGATATATTATTTAGTCTGAATTCGCTGCAGCAGCAATGGTCACCAAAATGGCCTTCTCTTTGATTGTAGTTACTACCTCAACCTGCTGCCTTATCATCATCTTCCTTTACTTTATGCTGATCAATAAGAGAGCCAAAGCTCAAAACTTGCCACCAGGGCCACCAAAGCTACCTCTAATCGGAAATATACATCAATTGGCCGGATTACTCCCGCACCGTGCCTTTCGAGATTTGGCACGAAAACATGGCCCCATCATGCACGTCCAACTCGGCAGCATTTCAGCAGTTATTATTTCATCGCCGCGACTAGCCAAAGAGGTTCTAAAAACCCATGATGTTGCCCTTGCAGACCGTCCAAAGACTTTTGGGAGTGAGCTTGTGTTGTACGGGACAACCGATGTAGCCCTTTCTCCCTATGGTGACTACTGGAGACAAATGAAAAGGATTTGCTCCTTGGAGCTCCTTAGTGCCAAAAGGGTTCAATCTTACGCTATGATCCGAGAACACGAGCTTGACGGTTTTATGGAGTTTCTCAGGTTATCTTCTGGAAAACCGATAAACATACACAAAACCATCACAAAATTGATCAATAATGTTGTTTGCATTGCTTCTTTTGGAAAAAACTGTAAACAACAACATGCCCTCCTAGAGTTCCTGGATGAGTTTGCAAGAGTGAACTCCGGGTTTTATTTGGCGGATCTGTTTCCTGATTTCAAGTTCCTTTACGTGGTTTCTGGACTGAGATCAAAGATGATGAAGCTGCACAAGACTATTGACAAGATTTTCGACGACATCTTAGAAGAGCACACAGGTAAAAGAAGAGACGGCGAGGCAGGGGAGGAAGATCTTCTTGAAGTTCTTCTTAAAATCAAAGAGGAAGGTGGTCTTGAGTTCCCCATCACAAACAACAATATTAAAGCCATTTTCGTAGTAAGTTATAACTTATCAATGTCTATTCTAAATTTTACCACATGAGTGCATGTGCATAATGATGAGATATAGAGTCCCATGTTCATTTGTTTCTACATTGATGCAGGACATTTTTGGAGGAGGCACTGATACGTCTTCGATAACGATTGAATGGGCCATGACGGAAATGATAAGACACCCGAGTGTGATGGAGAAGGTGCAACACGAAGTGCGAGAAGCCTTTCAGGGGAAGAGAAAAATCAGAGAGTTAGACATACAAAGTTTGAGCTATCTGCACTGTGTAATCAAGGAAACTCTAAGGCTTCACCCCCCAATCCCTATGTTACTCCCTCGTGTATGTAGGGAGCAATGTAAAATTGGTGGTTACGATATACCCATCAAAATGAAAGTTATGATCAATGCATGGGCATGCTCAACTGATCCTGAGTTCTGGGAGGATCCTGACAGCTTCAGGCCGGAGAGATTTGAAACTACTTCAGTCGACTTCAAGGGAACTCATTATCAATATATTCCATTTGGGTCGGGTCGGAGAATGTGCCCGGGTATAACCTTTGGTTTGGCATCGATCGAGCTTTTCCTCGCTCAAATGCTATACAATTTCGACTGGAAACTTGCTGATGGATCAAATCCTTTAGATATTGATATGATGGAGGGAGAAGGAGTGTTTGCAGCAAAAAAGGTTCACTTACATTTGATCCCTACCCCTTATGCTCCAGATAATTAACTAATCATTTATAAGGATTCTAAATAATGCAAATAAATTGGATTGATGAATTGATGTACCTTTTCATTCTTCCTTTATCTCTAATAAAAACTATGAATTGAGCATTTTTTATTATTATTAACATGGATATCTAACTCACTATGCAAGCCGACTAATCCCGAGACGACCACCTGCTTTGCAGATAGCCCGGAGTCACCGCATTTGAACTTCCGTAGTCACAAGGGGATTTAATTTCTCCTTGGATTTGAACTTCTGGTATTTTTGACCTTTAAAGCCAAACTCAAACCAATCAGACACCACGACCCTTATGGTTAATCTTATATTCTTAAAAGATTTAGGTTTTATGTAGTTAACAAGGTAAATTTGTGGTCAATTTATTGTACAACTAGTCAACTATTTGTATTTTTGGGGTTCAATATAAGGGAATGGAACATTGTGCTGTTTTACACCTACAAGAGTGCCACGTTGGTTGGATTTGGAGCATTTCTCCTCTTCATATGTTATGTTGTAATCTCTCATCTTTCCTCGGGCTCTTTTAGATAGTAATTTGGGAGTTCAATATATATCCACACATGATACCATAGCCAACGTCTACCACTATAGAGACTTACACTTTGTACAATCTGTACACTTCTTGCCCCCTCTTCATACACTTGGACAAGTTGTGCCTATCTAGCCTCCATTCGAGGGGGCATGTTAGAGTACTACGTCGGCTAACTTGACAATTTTTCTTCTATATATGTTGGAACCTTTTGTTTTTCTTCAAGATATCTTTTGAAGAGTAAAAGGGGTTATTATAAAATATTATTGGCAAAAAACTGCTTGTTCTCATAATTATCATACCGGCTAACCATATATATATATATATATATATATATATATATATATGGGAGTGGGTGGGTGATATGATATATATATATATATGGGAGTGGGTGGGGGTGGGTGATATGATATATATATATATATATGGGAGTGGGTGGGTGATATGATATATATATATATATGGGAGTGGGTGGGGGTGGGTGATATGATATATATATATATATATGGGAGTGGGTGGGTGATATGATATATATATATATATATATTACATGTATATGTATGTGGGAGTGGGTGGGTGATATGATGGTATGTCAACAACCAGAAAGGAGATATTAACTATTCAAGTTAATTAAGTGGCTTAATTATATATCTATACTATCTTATAAAACAAATTTAAAAAAAATCTTAAAGTCTTAAAATATTAAATAATTATAATACCCTTTATTTCACTTTTTCACATCCTCCTCTCCTTACATACACTCACCCTCTCACAACCCGATTTTTTTTTAAATTATAATTTTAAATTTACACTTTATACTCCTATAATTAGTTAATTAATTTAATTTACGTCTTTTACTTTTAAATGTTTCATTTTAAATATTTATCAAATTAATATACATAATCGTATATTAATTAAAACATATTTAAAAAATACATTTTTATTTTAACAAGTTACACCATTATAATCGTCTCGTTAATACCTTCGAAATGATTCCAATATTGAATATTTTTTGACTTAGTTATATTATTATATATTATATATACTGTGAAAAAATATTTTTAATATTTACGATTTATATTTTTATAGTTATTAATTTATATATATACTATATATTTTGGGGTTAGCCTGTCCAAATTGCACTGTATAATATGTTCTGAATTAATATGTTCTTGAGTTTTTTTGAAATATGTAATTATATATATACATGTATTAACTCAATCTTAATCTGAGTTTCTGGACAAGAAAGAGGGTAAGCAATTGAAATTTCATTCTAAAACCCATCTTTTTGGTCTTTTCATGACTTATGAT